CTGCCCAAAAAAAATGACAATTTTACATTTACATTCCGCAAGTTTAACCGCGGTCCCGGGACTCATTACTCATTAGGCTACCTACCACTTATGACTTACCAGTGGTTAGATATTTTGAATGGGTTTAGATCCCAACGCGGCCTGGTAACATCCCTATCAGTGATAAGCTCGGCATTTGGCACTTGTAAGACTCTGCCAGTTTACTTGTAGATTCATCCTTATCAAAACAAGGCGACGCTGAGCCTGAACCGCTAGTGCCTTCAGCTGCCGCAGACTCGTCAAACTCAAGAAAATGGTGTGTTGGTGATGCAAATGGGCTCTCTGGCAGCCTATCCTCCAAGCATATACTCAGATCCTCTTCAAGCTTAAGAAAAACCCAAAAAAAAAAAAGAGACTTATCTTACCACTCTGCTAGTTTGATTGTATCCTCATCAGATCCTTCCCTGTTCACTGAAATTGCCGGTGGAGAGTTGTCTGCGGGAGAGTAAGGTCAGGTTATCACACATTTCAGACAAGGATGAACTAATTAATGAGTGCAAAAGAGAACCTAGTAGTGTTTGGTCGAAAGGGTTAGGGGAACCGAGTTGAAAATGCTTCTTGACATGAAGCTGCAAATTCATCAGCCTTGTGCTCTGAATCTCAAGAGCTTGTTCTTCAAACCTCCTTCTCCACAACAGCTCTTGGGTGTTTTCGTGAAAAGCCATAATAATGTCAAGGCCAGTGGGGGTTCCATCCGGAGATGGCTTAGTCCTGCACAACACAAGAGGAGGAATCACTGTACTTTGTCAGGAACACGCAGAGGGGAATGAGAGGAGCAACAAGGGGAAGAGCCAAAGTACCTGTACTTGTCAGGGACTTTGCCTTTCTCCTTGTAAGGCTTAACAAGAACCCTGGAATCACACACAAAGTGAGGGTTCCCTTTGGCCAGAATGCTCTTCACCGTGTCCGGGTACACGAAGGTCACGAACCCAAACATCCTCTTCTGCTGGTACGGTATCCTCACGTCCTGAACTGGTCCATAGGTACTACACCAAGGCCATTGCTTTTCAGTCAGTAGATACACACAACTCTAAAAGAAAAGGAATGGGAAGAATTTTACCCGAAGTAATTTGAAACATCTTCTTCCCTGAAGATACTGTCCGCCGGGAAAGTCAGATAGATCTGTCTGGACGCAGGGCAGGCCATCGCCGAGAGGTCAGTCCTCTCTGGCCTCCAGCTTCCAAACTTGTGCAAGTCGTCGCCCATCATCAAAGCAGCTGCTCTGCAACACATTTTACCATCGTATAAGTAAGACTCATTCACATTTTATCATGAAAAGAAAAGAAAAGAAAAAAGGTCCAACCTTTGGGATTCACTCTGCTGCAAGTTGACACCTTTGGGGAAGTGATGGGCAAGTCTGGGCGGAACAGACTTGGACCGAAGCAGCTCGTGGCACTCGTAGGAGCAGTGTCCCCATCCGAACCCTAAATCGGAGGCCATGAGACCAAGCTCTTTCTTGGCCTTGGCTATGACGGAATGGAGGAGATTCTGAGGCCCGAAGGCTAACCTTATCATCTCCTTCTCCCCGTGATCCTGAAGGAGGAGAAGACCCATGATCTTGGAAGCATTTGCTGGGTCTAAGCTCTGGATTCTAGAGAGCACGATCCTCGTTGCTTCGTACACATCCATGGACTCTAACCAACCTTTCTCTCTCTCACTCACTCTTTTATCTTTGGCAGGAAAAGAAAGAAGAAATACTGCTTTTCTTGTCTTGTGTACAAAGGATGTTTGGTTTCTAGTCTTGGACTTTAGCAAAGTTTAAAAGCTTTCTTTCTCAACTACCAAACCATCATCACTCCCGCATCACTCCACTCCATACCTAAGCTTCCATCTCTCTCTGTTTCCTTCAAAACAAAAGTTGCCTCGTCCTCGTTCTCGTGTGGTTGCAACCAGAGAGGAAGAAATGGGAAATTAAAAGTTGGAGAAAAGCAGAGTGGAGTGAGTGACTGTGTCTTTCTGGGGGCTCCAACTCCCAAGTGAGTGGTCAAAGCGTCAAACTTTGGACTTTTGCAATCAAACACTCCCTACCTCTCTCATTTGTTTCAAATTCTTACCA